AAACATTGACCGAGTTCTCTGAACAGTTAAAAATAGTCTTAAATCAAAAGTAAGTGGAAAGCTTTGTAATGTTAAAAAAAATCACAAATTAACCAATAAAATAATTTTGCAAATCACAAAAATTCTTTTTTTTCCAAGAGTTTACTGTTTTGGTGTGTTGTTACTGAGCGGGAGAGTGGGACCACCAGGAATCACTGACAAAGTAAGGGAGGAGGCAAAAATCAGAGGGTGGGTGTGCTTTACATGTAAGTGTAACAAATCAACAGAAGAGAAGCATCAGAAAGATAACAGCGGGCTCACAAGTTGAAAGACTAAGGTGTAAGGAAGTAAAACAAAGCTGTCATAGACCAACCGTTAAGCACACTGGGGGGTAATTGTTCTCAGGCTTACTTGATTTGCAAGATAAACAACAACAGGATGTGCAGGTGTTCTTTCAGTAGCAAGGTCATGTGAATGAAACAGCATCATATGTGAGAGCTGTTTCTTCAACCCCCATTGCAGTGTCTCTGCAGGAAAGTGTAACTTTCTTACAAAGCACTGAATTCTTGAGGCTCACATTCCTGATGAACTCTCACTGCTGGTGTTATTACAGATGAACTTATTATAAACTGATGGTGAGTAACTGTCATCATGGCTACAAAGAAACACTACTGCTCAGTTTTTCACATCTATTTTTGTCCCTTTGAGAGCCACGTAGCAGCTGTCATTTATTTCCATTACCCTGAAAAGAAGGCAGACATTTCTAAGCAGATGTGTTAAATAAAGACATGATCAGAATACTTTACATATACTATACATAATACTATACAGCCATACTCCTGTGCGCTGTGTACATCCCTCCCTCCTCCAATGTCAACAACAGGAATGAGGCACTGAATGAACTGTACCAGCACATCAGTGAGCAGCAGACAGCCCATCCTGATGCTTTTCTCATCCTGGCTGGGGATTTCAATCATGCAGACTTAAAGTGCGTGTTTCCAAAAATACAACAACACATAGACTTTCCAACAAGGGGAAATAACACACTGGACTTTGTTTACACCACCCAGAGAGGAGCTTACAAAGCTTTTCCCCTCCCCTACCTCGGCGCCTCAGACCATATCACTGTCATGCTAATGCCTGCTTACAGACCGCTCGTTAAAGTGACCAAACCGGTTCGTAAGCGGATACAAGTGTGGCCAGAGGGGTCTTCAGAGGCTCTACAGGACTGCTTTAATACTACAGACTGGAACATGTTTAAGCAGGCTGCCACCTATAACAACACCACTGACCTCCAGGAGTACGCAGAGACTGTTACTGCCTACATCAACAAGTGTATTGAGGATGTAACAGTCACGAAAACCATAACTGTCCGGGCCAATCAAAAACCATGGATGACAGGAGAGGTCTACAGGCTGCTGAAAGCTCGGAATGTTGCCTTCAGAGATGGAGATGAGGCAAGCCTGAGGACAGCTAGGGCCAACCTTTCCCGTGGCATCAGAGAGGCTAAGAGACAGTACTCCAGGAAAATATCTCATCACTTCAAAGACAGCAGAGACTCACGGAGCCTGTGGCGGGGCATTCAGACCATCACAGATTACAAGCCCCCACCACAGACCTGCGATAGCACTATCCCCCTGCTGAACGAGCTGAACACTTTCTTTGCTCGCTTTGAAGTCCAAAACAGCACCACTGCACAGAAGACCCCACCCCCTCCTGGTGACCAGGTGATGACTCTGTCACCGGACAGCGTGAGGAGATCCCTCAGCAGGATCAATGCACGTAAAGCTCCGGGTCCTGACAACATTCCTGGTCGTGTACTGAGAGACTGTGCAGTGGAACTCACTGATGTCTTCACAGACATCTTCAACATATCACTCATCCAGGCTGTCGTCCCCACATGTTTTAAAGCCACCACAATCATTCCGGTTCCAAAAAAGTCATCTCCCTCCTGCTTTAATGACTACCGTCCTGTTGCACTTACTCCCATCCTGATGAAGTGCTTCGAACGACTAGTCATGCAACACATCAAGACTGTCCTGCCCCCCTCCCTGGATCCCTTCCAGTTTGCATATCGGCCCAACCGCTCAACCGATGATGCCATCTCCACTGCACTCCACTCGGCACTCACACACCTGGACAAAAAAGACTCATATGTTCGAATGCTGTTCATAGATTTCAGTTCAGCATTCAACACTATAATCCCCCAACAGCTCATTCAAAAACTGGTCCAGCTGGGGCTCAACACCTCACTGTGCAACTGGCTGTTGGATTTCCTCACCGGAAGACCTCAAGCAGTACGGGTTGGCAGTAATACATCCAGCACCATCATTTTAAACACAGGGGCCCCGCAGGGATGTGTGCTGAGCCCCCTCCTCTTCACTCTGCTGACCCATGACTGCACTCCATCATACAGCTCCAACCTCTTCATCAAGTTTGCGGACGACACAACGGTGGTGGGTCTCATTAGCAACAGGGATGAGACCGACTACAGAAGTGAGGTGAGACGCCTGGCCACGTGGTGTGCTGACAACAATCTCTCTCTGAATGTGGAGAAGACGAAGGAGATTGTTGTGGACTTCAGGAGAATGCACACCCAACATGCTCCTCTGACCATTGACGGAGCGTCTGTGGAGAGAGTGAGCAGCACCAAGTTCTTGGGTGTGCACATCACAGAGGATCTCTCCTGGACGTACAACACCACAGCACTGGCCAAGAAATCACAGCAGCGTCTCTTCTTTCTCCGCAAACTAAGAAGAGCAGGAGCACCAGCCCCCATCATGTACACTTTCTACAGAGGCACCATCGAGAGCATCCTGTCGAGCTGCATCACTGTGTGGTTTGGAGCCTGCAATGCGTCCTGTCATAGAACCCTCCAACGCATAGTGAGAGCTGCAGAGAGGATCATTGGTGTCTCTCTCCCCTCCCTCCAGGACATTTACAGCACCCGTCTCACTAAAAAAGCCCTTTGCATAGCGGCTGATCCCATGCACCCAATGCAAAGCTTCTTCAAGCTGCTGCCGTCAGGGAGGAGACTGCGGAGTCTCCAGGCCAGGACCAGCAGGCTGAAGGACAGCTTCATCCATCAGGCTGTCAGGAAGCTTAACTCCCTCCCGATTCTGCCCCCTCTCCCCTCTCTCCTCCACGGTCTCACTGAACTCTGTCACACACACACAAACACACACACTCTCTGACTCACTCACTGGCCTGCACCAGTTACCAGTCACTTTGTGGAGCATCTGACTGCCATTACCTCATAAGACTTTGTTGTTACACTTTCTCTTACCGTACACTACTAAATCTCCATTTGCACTATTTGCCTATTTGCACTACTCTGCCTGGTTTACACTCAATGTCACTTACCCATTATATTGTATATTGTATAGCTTTTTTGTTATATGTAAAATTGTATTTATTAAAATTTTTACTTTTTAATTATTTTACTTGCATTTTTAATCACTTTTATATTTAAATATATTTAAATGTTCATTTGCTATTTATCTAGGGATTGAGAGTAACGCAATTTCTATTCTCTGTATGTCCTGTACATGTGGCAGAATCGACAAATAAAGTTGACTTTGACTTGACTTATTAGTTCCATTCTAAACTGTTATTGTTAGTTTTTTTAACAGACACTCATATAAAATATAATCATGAAAGTTACTAAATGTAAAGTTTCTGCATAAAAAAAACAAGTCAGACTAAGACTCTCAAAGTGTGACGTTGAATTAAAATTAAGTATTGCAAACTCACCCTCCCTATCCAACGCCAACTCCAACGCTTACCTCCCCCATGATGTGGACATCGGGTCAGCTGGAGGCGCAGCCGAAGATTGCAGCGGTCCCAGATCAGATGTCCACACTGGAACACTTTCCCATGTTGCTTGTCTGTGTTTATTGTGTTATGGTGTGTTGATACTTGTGCATTCCTGTATTATCCTTTTGTGTTGCACATTTCGATGTTTTTTTTCCTCGCTACCTGGCCTGACCTGTCTCCCCAATGTGATGTTTGTATTGTATGTACGGTCGGCAACGTCTGTCATCTCGGTTGTGGGCAAAAGACCTGCAACTGACAAATAAAGGCTATCTCAACTCTCATCATCATCACTTAAAAAAATAATGTGCACTATAGATAAGATATTACAGGTGAATACAGTCCAGGCATCATGAAGAAGAGTAATGAAGTTTGACTGTAGGAATGCTTTACTGTAGCCTTCAGTGATGCATCGTGGCTTAATGAGTCTTTTGCTGAACATGCTCCTGCATCCTGTGTGAAGGATTTCTCTAGTATTGACTGTAACCTGGACAGCATCCTCCTTTCTGAAACATCCGTCAGAAAGTCAAGCTCCACATCAACGACGTTGCTGGCCACATGAATCGGATTATTGAGCAGTGCTGTTATGCACTACCCTCAGTCTGCTGCTGCAGCACACCAATAACATAGAGGATTCGACTGGACACCACAGACTCATAAAACATCCTGAGCACCGTCCAGCAGATGTTTTAACTATTCCTTTGAAAAGATAGAAAAGTCACTCTATAAGAGACGTGGTGCTATAATAATAAAAAAAAATCTTTTTATTCAGGGTAGAATATCACCTGAAAACATTTTTTTTAACCCTTTCTTAGCTGTTGTCCAAATCTTACGCATTTCTTTCCTTTACCAGAGGACAGACATCAATGTTTTTAACTAAGTTTAACTGTTTGTAAAGTTGTATGGAGCTAGTTAGCAAAAAGAAAACTGACAATTATTACACTGAAGTTATCAATGACTGATTGTGTATAACATATTATTATGTGGATATTTCTTCTTCTTCTTTCTTCTTATTCATTCGTTTTTACCACAGATTTGTGTGCTTCAACACAGGACGTCCATATGCTTCTATATGCGCAAGCGCAGCTCTGAGACGGAAGCAGGGCGTCCAATGACAGCAGGCCGAGAAGGAAAAAAAAACAGCGTAAAGATGAAAGAAGTGTTTAAACTTGTCAAGTGTTTAAAGTAGACATGGCAGGTATGTTCGAACAGTCAGTTAGTTTATTGTCGCAATGATATGTGTGTCTCCAGATTACTGTAGAAATGTATAAACCTTTAAAGTAAAGGGACTACAGAAAATGGCAACAAACCTGCTTGATTTCACTGCCCTCTATCGGCAGAGAATGAAAGCCCTTTTACCAGCGGTTGGTGCTATAACTGCTACATCCTGAGATCGGCGCCAAACGCACCATTATTTAAGGAGCACCCCCTCCCAAAAAGAAGGAGAAGAAGCATTAAACAGGCTGAGTGAATGTAGTCATTTGGTGATAACAATAAAGTAGCAGTATGTATTTAGGTCGTGTCAGTTCGTGCGGTCCAGTAGTGTGCATAATGCTGTCCTTCGTGCTGTCCCGGAGTTTCTGCCAAGGTGTTACGGAGGCGCACCGGAGGTGTTACTCGACCTTTGGGTCGATATGTCGGACTTTTTCAACATCGAGTCCGAAATGCGAAGAAGCATCAGACAACGGTAAAACCGTCGTTGTGTCCTGTCGAAATCCTCTTACAGGAATAAAATAATAATCTTATAAAACTAATCCAGCATGTCACTTTGAGTCTACAGATATATTTCTTAGTAACTAATATTAATAGTTTGATCTCATAGTATTTTGTGTTAAACTGCTGGAATGCTGTTTTAAATCGTCAATTGCCCTGACTGTGTGTGTCACAGTCTGTGTTTATGGCTACCTATACTCAGCATTTTCACAGCTGAATGGACTGCAGGTGTACACAAGCAGTTTCTCTCAATATTTCAAAGAGAGGATAATACTGTAGCTTAGCTGTGGCACTTTGATTTCACCCCCACAGTGTTTACCATCAGCAGGGGTTCAAATAACACGTACTCTAATTAAATCAGGAAATGGTGGTTTCACATAATTTTCAACGAATATAAGCACTATAAGCAACAATAAATTAAAACTCTTTCTTCCTGTTTCCTTTCTTTGTTGCTTTTCAGGTTCAGTGGTGACCTACTCAGAGCTGAAGACCATGCTGGCAAACCATAACATTCAGCTCTTTGATGTGAGAAATCCTGATGAGTACCAGGCTGGACAAATTCCCCAGGCCATCAACGTCCCACGTAAGCAGGGTTCTGAAACTTGTAGGGACTTGTCTGTTTTCCTGCATTTGTAGTTAACATGTGTGTTCTTTGTTGGTATGCATGTCAGTGGACAACCTGGAGGAGTCTCTGCAACTGTCCCCTGAGCTCTTTGAGCAAAGGTTTGAAGTGAAGGCTCCCACGAAAGCTGACGACAACATTGTGTTTCACTGCAGAAGTGGCATCAGGAGCACCAGAGCACTGAGCATCGCTCATCAGCTGGGATTTAGCAAGTAAGTAGTAATACATGTGCTTGTTTCTATGCAAAACAAACCTGGAGATTAAGCACACTACTAGTGGAAATTGACTGTGGGAATGCGATGTGCGTGTTTCCAGGGTAAATTTATGGAGAGGTGATGTCTAATACTGTATGGCGTCACTGAGAGATTTACAAAGTCTGAAAACATTGGGGCATTGCCAAAAACCTGTGTTGCTAGCTCTGTAGATTATGCTGTGGAGTGTTTTCTCTTTCTCCAGAACCAGTTCTAAGGGTATAGGCTAATGGTACAGAGCGATGGTGGAGAAATGTGGCCATTTACAAGTTAAGTTGGCAAATTGGACAGGGATCAGCAACAAAATGGGCAGTTAGGTCACAGACGAGCGTCCTGCAGATCAGTTTATGCCGAGTGAAGATCAGATACACTGTGAGGAGATTAGACTGGATGGCAGGTTTTATACTGCATGCAGTCTCACTGGCTCTGATAGACGGGTTGAAAGAAAATTATTTACTTAGTTTTGTGAATGTGCGATTTCCATACAGATATTTTTCTACTGACAAATCTACATGAAGTCTCATTTGGCCTATAAGGAAAAAAATGTATGTGCATATAAAAACAAAAAAACTCAGACATTAATCATCAATCAATTGAGATAATTAGTTATTTTTACAGCACTTCTGCTACATTTAGATGTCTCCCAAGAAGTCAATCCATGAGATATAAATAGTGCATTCCTGCTGCAGCTGGAGAAGTGTCCTCAGGTGATACTTTGACTTGCTGAACTGTGGGCGACCTTTGAATATAAAGCAAACAACAGTGTTAAGAGATTAAGCTCCTCTATCTGTGCTTTTGTTTTTGTTTTTCCCCCCTCAGGGCGAGACATTTTAAAGGAGGCTACTCAGAGTGGGTCGAGCGAGAAGGAAAGCGAATCGGGTGAAATCTGCACTGAAGTTCTTCAAAGTACTGTTCCTTTTATTCAATGCACTGTGACTGGGATATATTTCTTATTTTGTTCAAGAGTACTGTCAAAAGAAGTTTTTAACAGTTTTGCTGTAACTTTACTAAAAATATTACAAGTGCCCTTTTTATCCTGCTTCAAGATATGACATGAATTGGCAGCTGATGAATGTGAAGGTTCTTTAAATAAAAGCTATAAAACATTAAACATTGTGTTAAAATCTTTTTTTTTTCCTTTGTCATTATAAATATCTAATTAGTATAGAAAAAACAACCCACCTGTCCATTTTATATTCAAGTTTTTGGTTGTTTTGTTTTTCTTTTTTCTTTTTACCACGTTGATGTTTCCATGAAAACACTGAAAAAAAGGACAGCACAGAAGTAAAAATACAGGAGACAAGCTCATTAAAATGTTCATTTAAATAAGTGGTGAGAAAAATTTACTTCCATTGGCCCAAATGAGCATGTGGCTGTTTCGCCCGCACTTTGAGCTTATAATAATGGATTGCATTTATATAGCGCTTTTCTAGGCCACCAAAGCACTTTACAATTCCACTATTATTATTATTATTATTATTATTATTATAGGTTTTTTGTTGTTGTCAGCAGCAGCTGAAGACTACACTGGGTGTCACTCCTCTGAGCTAAGGACATTTGCGTAATAAAACATTGAGAAAACATTTCTTGGTCTGATTAACCCTTATTTCCTGTTGCAACATTTGGTAGAGTTGGTGTAATGAGATCCCTTCCCAGACGCCTTAACCCCCACGCATATCCTGGGCCATTTGACCTCAGTAAATGACATGAAGGGTGGGGCTAGGTTTCACAATCAATCAATACAACAAGGGAAAACAAATAAAATAAAGCTCTTTAGAATACCTAATAAATAAGCAATCCATAGGCTTTTATTATTATGTTTTACGTAATTATTCAACTGTGTCTATTTCCATTTAACATGTCTCCTAATATGTTCTCCTGAGTTTCATTTTTTTTTGTCCTTTTGCAGTGTGAACATACCCGCAAATGCACTGAATTATTTCAATTTGGAATAACAGCAGTTCAGCCTGAATGCCAGCAGATAGCAGCAAAATGCCAGCCAACTCTAAGTGCTTATTTCCATTTAATCTCCAACACTGTTCTTTTTATTATTGTACCATGCCCTATAAGGACTGACCTTCACAGTGGTATTAGTCTGCGCTGATATTATATATATATATATATATATATATATATATATATATATATATATATATATATATATATATGTATATATATATACATACATATATATATACATAGATATATATATAGATATATATATAGATATATATATAGATATATAGATATATATGCCAGAAAGCTTCTGCAGACAAGAAGGATGGGTCAGATTTCCAGTGGGCACCAAGGACATTTAGGCACTTTTACATGAGTTAAAACACAAACTGACAGGTGGTTCAGGGTGAAAAATGATCAGTGGGCGATTGTTTGTCAGCGGCTGCAGTTACACAGGACAGGCCATTAACTTCCTGCTGCTCGCTGCTTTTTAAAATGCACTCTACCAAGGCTTTGTAATAAAGTCGACTACATGGCTCTGTTTTGAATTTTTTTTAATTCTGGAAATGTAAACCACGTGGCCTTTATTTGTCTCCAAAACGGCTGTTGTGCTAAACCTCCCTCACAGGACTTTAACTGAATTTTCTCCGGGTTTTTTTTTCTTCCTTCTTTGCAAGCTGGAATGTGTACATGAATGGGAAAAATGGCACCCTCGTGTTGTTTCTTCCAGATCCCACTTATTTGGTGCGCGCTGTAGGGGCTCGTGCAGTACTGATTCCTCTTATCTTAAAATGTCATGTAGACAGAGAGAGGATGGGGGGGACGCATTGGATGAGAGCAGAGAGATATAAGGCAAAAAGCTCCTGGTATTCTTTATCTGCATAGAGTTTCTTTTTTCTTTTTGGTATTTCTTATGTCGCAGGGTTATAAAGTGGCCCATAAAGATAATGGCGCAATGGTTTACACATGTTTTTAAGCACCCAGGTTGGCCTAATGCCCCACAGGTCTTTCATTTAGTTGTTTTATGAGGCCAGCATCTGGCTATTTTTATTCCAATATAACTTCCAGCAAAGCACGACCCAGACTGCGAGACTGTGTCAGGGTCATACTGATGAGGGAGGGGATTCTAACTCACAACGCAGATATACAAAAACTTCTATCATAGCACTGACACGCAATCATTTTATCCTCAGATTAAAACATGTTCCGCGCCCCCCCTCTCGTAATAATTAGCCACGGCGTCACTAAGCACACCTGATGTAGCCACAACAACTCCGGTGTGGCCGCAGAAAGCTCACCGTAGAAAGCCTCATAGCCACCGAGAGCCGGTGGGGGGTAAATGAAGTGAGCGAGCGAGATTGGAGCTTCATCTGTGAGCTCTCAACATCCACATTCGCCCGTGCGCAATGTCACCGAGCGCTTCCCCGGCTCCTCCCGCTCGCCTCGCAGGGCTGGACGCAACGACCGGGCAACTTTTAACTCAGCACGGATGATGCTTTTCCTCGATGGCATCCGATGAATTCTTCACTGCGAAACACTAACAGGTATGTAAGCGTGTGTGCGTACTTTTTGTTTGGGGTTTTTAAAAGAAAAAGCAGTAATGTATTATTAATTGAAATGTTTTATGTGTTGTCTCTCCAGCTAAATCCTCATCCGCTGCTCGTTTAACAGTTTGATTGCGCATTTACTTGGATAACTGATCATGTGGCACAATCATTTTTGTCCCTAATTGGGCCATTCATGTGTGTGACTGGACCACAACTGACCTCAACCTTTGCAGAAAGCTGATTTCGACGCACGATAGGGCGCTGCAATTATGGGCTTTAACTGAATTCTGCGATAAATGTTTGACGATCGAGTAATAAGATGAACTTGGCAGGTATTTGTAATAAATTCCAGCTACCAAAATGAATTTATTACGCACAGCTAGACTGGGGGGGATCCTTGACAGGGTGTCAGCCAAGTCTGCTGTGGCAGCAGCCCACCCCTTAGTCTATGCGCAGTTTACGGTATTATTGGGTTAACATAACTGTCTTTACGAAAAAACATAAAGTTAAACACCGTCACGATCGCCGCCACTGTGCAGGCTTCACTGTGACTTCAGAGCATGTCCGCTGAGTCAGATGCGATGCCACCATGCATGTGCATTGAAGGGTCTGTTAGATGCCTACTTCACAGGCACTTATGAGAGGTCAGACCCCTGGATAGGAGCAGTGAGAGGCCGGAATAAGCGGTTAACATTAAAGCGAGGTCGTAAAACAAAAGTGTGCAAAGGGCAATCAGGTCCAATTAGCACTTGTTACAAGTATAAACAAACCCTTCAGCAGAGCAATATGCGACCTTGTGCTCCTGTTCAGACTGAACACACACTGTGTGTGTGTGTGTGTGTGTGTGTGTGTGTGTGTGTGTGTGTGTGTGTGTGTGTGTGTGTGTGTGTGTGTGTGTGTACGTGTACAGATGTGGTTTTCCTCAAATATTTTTTGATTGGCATCCCTGCAACCTGCCACACCTCATTCTGTGATAAATCCACTGCTGCACTCCCCTGAGGAGACTTCAAGGTGATCGGTATTGGTGCCTGGCTTTCCCCTGCTTCTTCAGGTTCTCCTGTGGACAATAATACGATACAGGAGCTATTGAAGAGCTTGGTAGCATTATAGACTGAGAAAATCTTTAAAAGCCTCCTGGGTCTGAGCCAGTTCTAAAAAGGATCTGATTTTCTCTGTGTCTTTCTCCCTGTTTCTGTCACTGAAAGAATGGGGGAAGCTGGATTAGATGGATCAGTATGTTTACCATCTAGACACAGGTGTGAGTATTACCACAGTGGGCTGATATCTGGACTTGGGCCAGATAGGGAGGTTTGATGATAAATGAGAAGAAGGGCTGAGTGCAAGGAGCACGGAGCCAAGCAGACCTCTCAGGGTGGCAGCACAGACTTATTACCCCTCCCTGATGAACTAACCTTCCAGACACTGCTTAAGGCTTCTCTTCCAGGCCCTAATTAAAGCTACCATCTCTGTTTTATAGCTCCTGTTTTTATCAGTTGTTTTAGATGCCATTTACAGGAACGATCGCAGTGCTTTTGAAAGGCTGACTGGAACAATCATAAATGCATTGCACAGTCGAAGCATACATTGTCTGCTGAGTCTTTATGGAGATGATTGTCTCTATAGGAGCCATGGAGCCGTATCGTGAAGAGGCGTCAATACGCTCCCCCATTTTTTATTCAGCAGGAGAAATGAAACTCTCGTGCCAGCAAAAAGCAGCGATGCTCTGCAAAGAGAGTGTTACTGCTGGGATTTATCTCCTTACGTTTCATTTATCAGTGCATCTGACTTGTGTTGGGAGTCAGCATCTGTTTTCCAGCAGGCCTTTCTATGGGTAAATTCACCTAATGACTAAAGTGTGGGAATCCAAAAGGAAACAGAAGGTTGTGTGTTTATTCCAATACTCTTTTCTTTGGGCAGGTCTGCCAAACATCTCACCTCCCATGTCACTGGGACGTCTCAATGGCGATGTTTAGCAGCTCGGAGCGGCTCTGGAATGAGTCAGAGCGCCTCAGATGGGATGAGAGGAATGAGACCTTGGAGGCACCATGGCAGGATGAAGGGGAGCGCAATTACTATGCCATGCTGTACTCCCTGCTTATCCTAGCCATCGTGTTTGGGAACGTGTTGGTGTGTCTGGCCGTGCTGAGGGAACGTTCCCTCCAGACAACCACCAACTACCTGGTGGTGAGCCTGGCTGTGTCTGACCTGCTCGTGGCCTCTCTGGTCATGCCCTGGGCTGTCTACCTGGAGGTGAGTGTCTGCATTTACATCCTTCAGTATCTCACGCATGTTCTTTTCAATAGCGTTTTAAAAATGTATTGTAATTACATCCATATAGAAGGATTTTCTTTACATATTTTGGAGGTTGAATGGTCATATTTTGCACTGTTTGGCAGAGGTTTCATTCCTGCTGCTAATGTTTAGAGTAGCAGAAGCTGAATCAAACTTTTATCCATGCTGAGGTGGGATCTGACAGAAATGGAACTCATTTGCGTTGGTCTGTTTTTCCCTTTGAATTTTCTTGTGATGCACTACACCGCTTCCAGCTCTCCGCTTATTCTTCTCCACCATGCCCGCACTTCAACTCTTTAACCTGAATTCCAGAGAACATCACAGAGTTGCAGGGGGCAAAATGAGACAAGAAGATTTCAGGTCATTTTGTGCCCAGTGTTCTCACTCAGTTGCCCCATAATATTACAACAGGTCTTTGCACTGATGATCTTACCCTGCTGGACAAATTCTGATGCAACGTGTTCTTGCCAGCCTGCAGGGCCTTCCACAGAAATACACTGTTTGGTCTTTGAGATACTCCTCAACATGTGGCTGGGATTGGTTTGAAACAGAAGTTGATATTTGCTTTCAGCGCCAGTTTGAGCTGAAATCTCATGGATGCACATGCAGATACCCACAGCAGGACTTCCAAAGAGCAATTTAATTTTCTTCTTATTAGAAAAGCTTTAGAAGAATCGGACCTTAAAGGAAATTACAGCCAAACAGAAACCAGCTAAAGTGTTAAGGTCAAACGTTTTGCCCCTTCTAATTACACCTTGGTAGTTTATTTTTATTTATCCATGTACATTTTCTAACTATTTCAACCATTCATTTTAAGCAAGTGTTTCACTCAGCTATCACTGTTTCATCATTTCTTTTCACTTGCTAACAAACTAGTTCCCATTCCTATTGGGATTACACCATTTTTAATCCTAATTGCATGTTTGCCTGCTTATGGATGTTTGTTTTTATTAATTGTTGATAATTAGTACCCTGCAATATTCCCACTAACAGCTGCAGAAGTGCCGCCTAACAGCAAATAAATCATGGAGAGCCCTGAAGCAGGGGGGAAGCAAGACATGATTAGAAATATGGAGGATGTAGACGGGATAAAATACCGTTATTTAGGAGTGAATGAGTTGAGATTATGAAGAGAACAGAGGAAAGTTGTGTGGAAGACAAAATAAAAAAGCTAAACTCAAAGAGGGAAAGGATGAGGGTCATTTGAGCTTATTACATGGTGACAGCTGTGTGGGTGATCCAAAGACAGTAATGATGATGAAAGTATTTTAGATAGTGATTCAGTATTTATGTAGATTATGCATAATTGCTTAAGGATATATTGAATATTAAATAAGGGCGTCATCTGCTCTGTAATTGGCTGAGCCGCAGATGATAAAGAGGCTTCTGCAAACTTGTGAATTTCATTCTTATCCAACCTTCGCAGCAAAAAGCTTTTTATAGTTTCTGTTCACTTTTATTTACTACTTGAAGATTACTCACTAGTGTAACATAGTTTTTCTGGTAATTATCGCTTTCCTTCGTGTTACTTGCTGTTCACCAGCTCCATTAAGTATGCAGGTGCACATGACCATCAGACAATCACACTTCACTAAGGTCACTGAACGCTGCAAATTTACTTCAGGCAGGCTCATAGGTGTGTATAGAACAACCTCCTTGAAGCTCGCAGAGAAAGAGAGTGTTCCTGCAGGACAGGTGTTTGCCAACATGAGTCCTGAAGTCCGGTTGTGTTTAATAAGCAGCCAACCTTTCGTGCAAGAATTTTGCACAGTGTCAGCAGAAAGTGCTTTTTCTCCTGCAGTGCAGAAGATTCAACAGCAGACCGACCCAAAAAAAAGTAATTACACACCCAGTGAGCAGAAGTTGACAAATTAAAGATGATTACATCCTCCGAAAGGTAAATTTAGGGCGCCATAAACCTCGACAGGGTTCAGTCATGGGTTTAACTTCCTAGCGAGCAGCTATGTTGTAAAAGCATGTGCTACTTTTTTTTAAATTTGGAGTTGGATCTCCTCATTTCAGATTCAAAGGGGAGCTTATTAAACACTGTAAAAACTGGTTATTAAAAGATAATATGACACAAAAGTCCAATATTCATTATTTTAGAGTAAATTTAAAAGAATATTGTTTTTAAAAAAGGCTGGGGAGAAACTTATTCAGCATCAGAGGTAAAGACTTTCAGCTCCCAAGACTAAGCACCATCACCCTGGGAGCTGTAATCTGAAGGTCTGCGGATTAACCTGATGTAGAGGGATGCTGGTGAGCTTCAGCAGGTGTGTTCTTACGAGAAAAGTCAGTGAGCGTCGCTCTTCCTGTCCTCAGCGGGAGCCAATCATGTGCCCTTGAGCAAGTCATATTATCCTTGAATGGAGCAGCTGATCTATGACTTGTACTTGAGCAAAGTGGTTGCAATGGCAGTAATGAATGAGCGCTCACGTCTAGCACTTCATCCTAAACAATGTCGCTCAGCCTCCAAAAATATGCAACATGACTGTATAGAAACGGCTCCATTTATAAAGTGGAGGCTATATTCTCTTTTTAGGGTAGTCAGGTGTTAAATGAGCCGGTTCATATATAGCACTTTTATACTCGAGCACTTGGAGCGCTTTGTACGACTTGCCTCATTCACACGAGCACTTTTTATACACCTTTATATCTAACATTGACACGCCAATGAATGCATCGGAGCAACTTTGGCATGCAGATTAGCAGTCAGGAATTGAACTACCAACGTCTGATCTAGTCTTATAATTAGCTTGTGCATTCTCAGTAAAAAACATACAGTACTTTACGAGTCAAATCTGTTAGGGTACCTGGGTTGTTGACCCAGTGTTTTGAGTTTTTTATTATTATTGAACTTTGATTTTGTCATTATTTATATTTCTAGTATTTTGGTTTCTATGTTAGCATTCTTAGTCTCCTGGTTTCTGTCTCTGCTTCATGGTTCCTCTGTCTCCCCTGTCACCTGTATCCCCTTGTTGGGGCTCTGTGTTATGTTTCCTGTTTTACTTTGAAAGTCCGTGTCAGTGTTTCTAGTTTTGTTTTCCTTGTCTCTTGAGGTCTGATTTGTCCCAGCTCTGTTTCCCTCCCATCTCCCATTCCCTAATTGCACCCTCTGTGTATTTAAGTCCTGTGTTTTCCTCGGTCTCTGTCGTGATCTCCATCATCTCTTACTGTGTGTTCTGTCTGTCAGCCTGCATACCTTGTTTAGTTTATTTTTATTTTCAGTTCAGTTATTTTTTGCCATCCTGCAGTAATGCTGTGTTTGAGTTCACCTTTTTGCCTCCATGAGTCTGCACTTTGGGTCCACCATTACTGCCTGCCGCACACAGACATGACAACATCATCCCTGGATCGATGACTTGTAATCGATGACACCTGTTCAGCTGCTCATTAGTACAAATATGTAATCAGCCAATCACATGTATTACTTTCAAAGCATTTAGGTACGTAGACATGGTCAAGACGACCTGCTGAAGTTTGAGCATTAGAATGGGGAAGAAAAGTAATTTAAGTAACTTTGAATGTGGCATAGTTGTTGGTTCGTGTCTCAGAAACTGCTCATCTGCTGGGATCTTCACACACGACCATCCCTGAGGTTTACCAACCTTGAAGCAGATGAACTACAGCAGCAGAAGACCACACCAGGTGAAAGTGAAGCTACAATTCACGTGGGATCAATAGGCGAGATAATAGTTGACTGGAAAAACATAACATTGGCTGGCCTGATGAATCTCAGTTTCTGCTGCAACATTTCAGATGGGAGGATCAGAATCTGTCTTAAACAACATGAAGACATGGATCCATCCTGTCTTGTATCAACCGTTCAGGGTGCTGCTGGTGTATATTTGGTGGATATTTTCTCGGCATACTTTGGACCACTCTGTGCCAATTCAGCATAACTTCATTACCACAGCCTACCTGAGTATTGTTGCTGAGCATGTTCATGCCATTATGACCACAGTGTACCCATCTTCTGATGGCAGCATTAAGCAGCATAACATATTATTACACAAAGCTCAGATCATCACAAACTGGTTTCTCGAACATGACCATGACTTCACTGTCTTCAACTGGCCTCCACAGTCACCAGGTCTCAATCCAATAAAAGAGCTTTAGTATGTGGTGGAACAGGAGATTCATATCAAGCTCACGGTCAATAGTTCAAAACATGATTTCTACTTCTCCCTGGGTGGTGGCTTTATTTGCCTGACTTTTTGTATTGGTCTCACACACTTATTAAAATAATTTAGAGTCCTCTTCCATTATGTTGCAGTGCTGTTTACATGCATGAACATAATGTGTGTAGAGCCCTTATTTATTGGAAATGTATTTAATTGGGGCCACAAAGATTTAAAGCATGATCTAGGTTCTTTATTTCTTTAAACATCTAGTTCTTGGTTAGTGTTTGGGCTTAAAATCAAGATGAGAGAGGTGCCACAGCAATTTGCTTGAATAGATGCAGGCATTCATGACTCAGTATGATGAGGCCCAGTTCCTTCCATTTTACTGAAAGCATAAAGATTTTCACTGTCAATGAAGCTGGTACATAAAACACTGCATTGCAATGTTGTATTTCAAGCAACAACTGTGGAAAACACTGACTTCCAGGAAACGGTGTCTCATGTGAGCACACTAAATACTTACAAATTGAAGAGAAACAGTATGTAGTTTCAAACTGGTACACAACGCAAAGCTGTTCTTCAATTTTCACACCTTTAGTTTGTGGAAGAATTTGTGTTGAAACTTTGTTATCTTAGTAGCAATCATAACCACAATGGCATCATTGTGCCGTCGTCATTAGATAATTATCTGAGACCTGCCAAAATTCCCCCGAGCCTCCTGAGAGAAGACTTTATTCAACAGAAAGCAACTGATTTTTGTGTGTGAAGTTGGCAGAATCCCTTCTTTGGGATGAAATTTGGATTTCCACGTGTCGAAAAAGGTTATGACGATGTTAGGTTAAGCAGGTTAGGCATGTGAAATTTTTCTGAATTCGAACGTGTAACACCTCTGGTGTAGAAAAAAAATAGCAAAAAGAAGCTAATTTTACCTATTTACATACTTGTATGTGTATGTGCATATTCCCATGTGTGCCTGCTGCCTCTCTGTGTAGGTAGGCATATATTCACATGCTGGATTTGAGAGATTCAGTAGTGAGGCAATGCTGCTTGGATCCCATTTATCTCTGTCAGACAGTTATTACCAGGTATTATAGTGCCTGAATGAAAGCCTGTCGACTTGAGTAAGACTCTGCTGGGGAGGAAGAGGTGGGAGTACTGGTGTGTTAACTGGAGGCTTATGCCCTTTGTGAAAAAAAGTCTGACAAACACCTTCAGTGTAATTAAACCTTGCATTTAGATGGGCACCCTCCTTCGGCTTATTTCCATGCCACTCATCACAGCACTGGAATAACAGGACTTTTTGCACTTGAGTACTTCAGATTACCTCGCTACAAATCTGAAACACTATATCATAACATAAACACACATTAATAAACCAAAGTGATATCCCGGTAGTGTGTCAGGGTTAATATGTGACTCATGCTGGCAGCTCAGACTTGATTTTCTTTATGTAATTTGGGCCAAAGTGCCTCTTGTGTGCCCTTTTTTTCCCTTCTTCACGAAACCTTTTTGTCACCTGCGCTGCACTTCACACTTGACTGTGAAGAAGGGGAAGAAAAGGAGGGGGAAACGTGAGTGTCGTTAATCTGCCTGTCTGTCCTTTACAGGTGGTCGGCGGAGCCTGGCTTTTCAGCCGCCTCTACTGTAACGTCTTTGTCACGCTGGATGTGATGATGTGCACCGCCAGTATTCTCAACCTGTGCGCTATCAGCATTGACAGGTGAGTGCGAGTGTGTGTGTGTGTGTGTGTGTGTGTGTGTGTGTGTGTGTGTCTTTATCTTTTTGCTGCAGTTACTATGTATGACTACAGATGTTGCCATGACATCTCCAGTGTAAATGTCATCTCTGTTAGACTTTTTTTCCGTCACCTCGCCACGTAGACATTTCAAAGCTCGCTGAAGGATTAAAATATTTTCCCCATCTTGCTCGTATCTTCTTGATAGTTGTGTGTCTGTGTGTGCATCTCAGCGTGCAAGTTTCTCACAATGAGAGACAGTGAGAAAGTAACAGGAGTGAGCATGTGCATGCAGGCTAGGTGTTTTTAGGTTTTTGGCTAATTGCTGAGAAGATGTTTGTGCCATTGCACAGGAAAATGTCAAGCATGAGGACCTCGAACCTCTCCTGCAGCATCTGGTGTTTACATCATTATTTGCGTAGGTTTTGTTCTTGTATCAAAGTGAACATTTAATATCTCTAAAGGGTCTTTGAACTTGGAACCCCACAGGCATCAGGGGTTCAACTGCACAGGATGAATACACTGATGCATAAGAACTCTCGGGGGGATATATTTGCTCAGCCTGTATGGAGAAGGGAGTGTTTGCCTTTCTCTGCAGCGAATACGACTGCAGGGGAAAATGAGCGCTTTCATGAGTTTGCATGACAGTAAATGTTTTATAAGTCCCAGTTTCACTTTGTGTGACTCTGAGTTTTTGGTATTATTTCAAATACATTCATTTGCCGCAATAACAAACAAGGTTCTCCTGCAGTATTTGTTGTGGGGTTTTAACACATTGCTATTACTCTTGATTTGTTACTCATTATATTACTTTATATTGCATCATTGCCTAAGATACAGCTACAGCTAACTTAGAATTGCCAATAAATTAACATGGATGTATTCGGACCATGGAAGAAAGCTGCTAGAGAAAACTCACATGGGCACAGGATGAACATGCCAACTCCACAGAAAAAGACCCAACAAACGAGCAGATCTGAACCACTCTGCCAGATAAGGAGGAAACGTGAAACCAGAGTGGTGGCCACATATCAACAAGAATCTCTGTCCAAGCAAGAGCCGTCAAAGACCACATTTCCTCCAGAGCTGAGAACTCCCTCCACAAAGCGAGTCCCTGGACGAAGGATCTCTGGCTCCAGCTTAGATTTCCTCAAGAACATCAAAACGATATCTGCCAATTTTTGTTACATCAATATGATAAGCATTTGTGAGGATATAATGGGAAACGGCCCTACTTCACAGTGGTGAAGACTACTTCCAAAGAGTCCTCCTTTGGATCGACTCCAAAAGTGAATCACTTCTAAGTTGGGCCAGGGCCCAAAACGTCAATGCAAATCTGTTCAGAAATTATTTTTTTTTGAGTAAATTGGACAAAATATAAACATTAAAAAAACCAATCCCACAACCCCCTTGGTGGAGGTTATAAAAAGTAAAATATAACATTCCTACACTTAATTTTAGTAGTGATATTTTTATAATGCCAGCGAGAAAATGCTCACAGTGTGGTGGGAGTTTCTTCTAGTCAAAAACCTACAGAGACATCTGCAGCTTCGATCACTTAGAGAGCTTATCGTGAGAGTTTGTCACTTGTTCACTATTCCAAAGACACTTGCTACTGGTTCTTGGTTTATTAACAATGAAATAATCAGATATAAATAACCAAACTTCCATAATGAAGCGTCGAGTGTAAAGAATAATAACAATGCAAATGCAAATAATGCAAATGCTCGAGGTAGATAGTAACGAATTCTATTGAACTGCAGGTGCAGTTGAAACTGCACTGAGCTAAACAAACACTAGTTAGACTTCAGAAATAACTCAAGTCCAAAAGCAAAAGAACAATGAAAACAGCACACGAAATAGAAAACAAGAATCTAAAAAAAACCTCAAACTCATAACCCTGAATCCAAAATCCAGAACAACAGCAAAAAATAAATAAATCTTGCTATGTCAATGCTGTGTTCATGAAATGTGTCTCCTGTCAGAAGTGGCCAAGAAATCATTATAAATGAATTAATAAACAACAAAACCAACAATGAGAATCCGGGTTTAATGAGGCAACATGGCACAACAGAAATGCCATGGAGCTCTGAGGCCAAAACAGGGCAGTGGCCCCAATTCCAGAGCATATAAACATGTTAATCTGGCAGCGATTGTATCCTGTAAAACTTTCCTGACATCATTTTTTTGTACGAATCCAACTGGTTAAATACTTTATGGGGCTGTCTTCACAATTAAATTAGCAAATTAGATATCCTGAAACCCTTCTTTTATTTGTTGGACTGCTTGATTCTTTTGGATGTTTCATAATTTGCACCTGAGCAATGAAGTCGTCCTGAACACTGCTCTTCTTCCTGTTTAATACAGAAGTCAAAAGCACCTCTGCAGCATCAGATGTTTGTGTGCTTCTAAATTAATGCAAAGCCCCTGGGACATTGCGTGTCACTGAGATCATTTTTACCTTCGCAGCAGCGCCGTTAGTTTATCGCATTGATCTCTTTGAAAACAGAGGATTTGTCAGCTTTCAATGGCTCTTCAGAAGCAGCGTAAATACGCGATAACCCAAGTTCTACCGTGAAACTTCAAGGAGAATTGTCCCGGTGAAAGTACTTACAGTTTAAGTCGTGCTTTGAGTGGTGATTTTAAGAGTTGATGAAACTAAAGGTGTAACGTAAAGCAGCGCTTGATCAATAAAGGTTGCCTATAATTTTTTTTATCATTCAACTTTTTTCCTTTCTTTTCCTTAATTTTTTTTTAAATCTTTGCATTTATTCTAACCCAGCAGCGCCGTGGCAGGAGGTTAAAGGCAAAGGGAAGCAGCGTGGGAAGAATATTTTTAGTGGATGTCCGCGTTTGGCTCCGGGTTTCACTCTGCATTTTGCCCAGAGAAGAACAGGAGTAATTAGCCTGATGAGGATAAACAATCATGGCAGTTGTCTGGCTCTAAACAACATTACATCACATCTATTTTGGGTTGGGTTCCAGCATAATTGCAGCTTCTTCTAGGCTATTGCTGGACAGTTTTTCCGGGCTCATTATACACTCTTGGCATATAGTGTGCTGATTAACTCTTAAATCAAAGCCTCACTAGAGTTACTGCTGAATACCCATTTGTTTCTGAATAATAGTGCCTGGTACGCCTTCCCATTGTTGGTCTTTATACCATCCACTTTTTCTCTGCATTGCATTTCTTGGCATCCCCAAAGCCCAACATTCTTTTTCTCCCTCTAATTATTCCCTTTTGCAGGACCGCATCAGCACTTTTTCCTTCATTCAAATGTCACCACCTGTCCTCTGTACAAATACGTCTGCAAAGCAAACTCTAATCCTTGTCTGTGTCTGCAGGTATACGGCAGTAGTGATGCCCGTCTTGTACAACACCACTCATCGCTCCAGAAAAAGAGTGTTTGTCATGATTGCTACCGTGTGGGTCTTGGCCTTCGCGGTGTCCTGCCCCCTGTTGTTTGGATTCAACACCACAGGTCAGCTCAGCAACATTTCGACTTTGGCTTGTTTTCTGGTTAACGTTAATTACGTAATTTAGAATTAAAGTTTAGTGTTCTTAGCATTTAGGATGGCCGTGGCGAGTAACTCAAGTGCTGTAAACATTTCATGTGTCGTCTGAGTTTTGTCAAGTCTGTGAAAGTAACAGCAAATGATATTATTGGCATTAAGAGCTGAAGCATGTCGAATCTGAAGGATGTGGGCAGATCAGGGAAGCAGAGTCTAATGCAGTATTCCTGTCATGTTGTGAGGATGTAATCACAGAGAAAATGACCATTCATGTCACACATTTGCAGCGTTTTCACAGAGTTTGAGATTTTGTGCAATTTCTGACAGCTACAATATTTCCTGTTAAAAAATAAGTAAATTTATAAACCAACAAGTGGAAGATTCACTGCAATGCCACAACTGCTGCTGTTGGTTATTAATAAAACCCAGCGTTACAGCTTTTCTCATTTGGATGTTGTTACTTGCACAAGTAAGAGCGTTTACCATCAACAGATGGTGAATCTGCTCAGATGAACATTTTACAGGTGTAGAAGCCTGACTAAGGAGAAGAAGAGCGAGGGAGGATTGTAGTGTAGCAAGGAGATTACAACAGGAGGGAGGTGCAGAGGGTGGATGCAGTGTTGATGGTGGGTTTTCTCCTGTTACAGTGCAACGGGAGCATTAGGTGAGGTTGATAAGTATGCATGACCAAAAGACACAGCAGGATGTGCAGTGATTCCTGTACTGTGCACAGTAGGGCTATTTTTTATTTTGCATGTGTTTTTATACAGATACTTTTCTATGCTGTTCTGTATTTATTCTAACAGCGTTTTACTCTATTGTGGGATCAGTGCAGGAACAAAAATCCCCTCATTCTTGTCTGCAAGTAGAACATAAAATCTTGAACTCAGCATCTGAAGTATTCAGCTCATCCAAGTATCCACTTTCATACACAATCGTGGTCAGAAAACCTATAGTTTTATACTCGAGGCATTCACTGTCAGTGAAACCAGGTAGGACAGAGAGTCTTTTGCTTTTTAACACTACATCATTTTTGATTTGGGTTGCTTATTGCTTGTTTACAAATGTGTTGTAGCGTGGCATTACATCTGCTACGGCCCTGCCTCTGAAATAGACAAGCTTATATTGAGCAAACAAAGAGAGCATTCACACAATGAATTTCAGAGCATAAAACAGCTATCCGCTCAAGGAACATGGAGCCAAACACTGTCATGAGGCCAAAAATGGCTCCACTGTTATGTCCTTTGGAGTGAATGATGATTATAGTTCAAAATGCTTTCCCCTGAGCAAGTTTACATAAAATATAGAAACATTAGATGTTCGCTACAAACCCGTAACCTCAGCCAGAATCATCCCGCTTTGCTTTTAATCATTACTCTTTTGTGAATCTTTTAGCCAAACTGCTGTATTTGAACAACATGACGTCCGTTTTGGCTCCGATGAAAGCCGCAGAGATGGCACGTTAGCAAGTTTGTTGGCTTGTCCAGAATAAATTGTGGACTTTTTCCTGATATTTGCAAAAGTGGTTCTGTTTACCTTTGTGCACTCAACACTGGATTTTCACATAGAGCCTTCTTTATTGTCAAAACTTTAAATCATCAGCCCCCAAATTTCTATCTGCCTGTTGGATAGACAGTTGTTTTTATGCTGAGCCTTATTTGTCACTCATGTGCTTGTGTGCATTTCTGTCTGCCCCTGATTAGGTCATAGATGCCTTTAAATTTCATATTTTTACTTCTTCCAGTTAAAATTACACTTACAATAAATTGCCGCTTGCTATTTTCCTCATTTTAAAATGTTGCTATTAAAGCATTAATTAGACATGTTCTAAATTACTATAAGCACTCATTAACCCCGATCATGCCTGGGTGCTCACTGACACACTCACTTGCTTCTTCATTAGTTACACATTGCTAGTACTGGGTTGGTTCCTCCTTCTGCCTTCAGAAGTGCTTTAAGTCATCATGGCACAGATTCAGATTCGGCATCACATCCATGATGTCAAACTCCTGTTCGAGCAAATCCCAAAGGTGCTCTACTGGAGAGATTGAGATCTGGTGAATGTGGAGTACATATGAATCGATATTTGGTAAAATAAATAAATAAATAAAAATGGGACAAGAATATTACACCACCATTGTTTGGATGCTTTCAGGTGGTTGAAACTCATCAGAGCAGGCAACATTTTTCAAATCTTCTGCTGTTCAATTTTGGTGACCCGATGTGAATTGTCGTCTCAAGGCGCTTTATATTGTGTGGTAGACCCTACAACAATACAACAGAGAAAACCCTAACAATCATATGACCCCCTGTGAGTAAGTGCTTTGGCAACAGAGGGAAGGAAAAACTCCCTTTTAACAGGATGACACCTCCAGCACAGCAGGTTCAGGGAGGGGCGGCCATCTGCCGCAGTTATATGAGCAATTATTTGAGTTACTGTTGCCTTGCTATCAACTCAAAGCAGTCTGGCCATTCTCCTCTGACCTCTGGGATAAACAAGGCATTTTCACCCTGAGAACTGCAGCTCACTGATATTTTCTCTTTTTCGGCCCATTCTCAGGAAACCCTAGAGATGGTAGTACACTAGCACAGCAGATCAGCACTTTCTGCAATACCACGCCACAATCAAAGTCACTGAAATCACTTTCTTATTTCAACACTTTCTTCTCTACTTCAAAGATTGCACTTGATTGATTGAATCATTTATGTCCATTAAACCTCCTCTTAATACACTGTTTCATTGGAGGCCTTTTTTGTATCTTTGGTAAGTGGCTGTTTTATATATTTAATACTTGTTTATTTATCCCTATCTTCTTTGCTTTTGATCCTTTTAGATTTTTGTATTGATTTATTCATGATCCGTGCTCCTTTTATGGTTGGTTTTTATTTTTGTTCTTTTGTTGTTTTTAATTATTGTAGGAAGTCCTTCAAAGAAAAAACTTTGCAACTTTGTTTGCTCTGTCACACATTTTTCTAGTTAACAAGAAAAGTAAAGCAAATATTTCTTTTGTCCTTTCAAAATATTGTTTGCATTGCAGTCTGATTGGATGAGGTTACGTCAAGTGGAAAACAGATGCCGTCTTGTTTATTGTTAAAAATCATTTGTGTTTTCCAACACTGAAGATGTGCTGTAAAGCCAAATCACATATAGTTTGAAGCTAAATAACGAAATATGAACAATGTCACCAGCAGCTATTTTAATTTCAATAGCCAGCAGCAACACAGATGCATGAGTGAACACACACAATTAAGACCATTAGTGAAACACAATGTAAAGCAAATCACAGACGTGCAAGCACTAAGTTTAGTCTACCTATAGTCAGAGTGAAACAACGGCTGTTTATTGCAGGAATCTGACCACTCAGGGGCGGAGACCGGGGTGGGGTGGGGGGGGTCCTGTTAGGTCTGAAATCCTTCGTCTTTCTTTTGAAGTAATCGACTGACACGGATCAGCTCAAACAGACAAATCTGTTTTGTTCCCAAACAAAAAAGAAATAATCAGTACTCTGAGTCTAGCAGCTGAAGGTAGTTTGGAGAGTGGCACCAAATAGATTGTATCTATCCATCCTTCATCCCACTCTCTGTGTGACATGATTTTGGATGAGGAATTTGTCAGCCTTTATTATATGAAGTGGTCTCTTATCCTGAATTTATTGCTCAGTTCTTGTCAGATCAGTTATGTCTCTATCGTGCAGTGATCTCTGTTGGGGTATAGCATGTGTTCGATATATAGGCATTATATGAAAAGAGGACAAACGATCAAGGCTATTTTCAAGATTGACAGCATACTCTGGGGTCAGAGAGCCAGCTTTAAATGATGATGTTTGTCTCTTTTATTATCCTATAATTTTAAGGCTGTTTTCCATAATGATATTTTCCTTTTATTGCAGACGACCCTTTGGTGTGCTCCATCTCCAACCCTGACTTTGTGATCTACTCTTCTGTGGTGTCCTTCTATTTGCCGTTTATTGTCACTCTGCTGGTTTACATCCGCATCTACGTCTTCCTCAGGATGAGGCGGAAGAGGATCACTTTTGGACAGGCCAGTGGGAAGGTGCAGCCAGGCTCCACCCCACCGTCTGTGGTGAGTCGGTTTCCATTATTAGTTTTTTTAGTGGTGCACGGTATAGTAAAAGATGCTTTATGAGATAGTTAGTTTAACAATAATTATCTATTGATTCTAAAAATCTATTTAGAGGAGCAGCTTTGGGGGTCATCATGAAGAAGTTTTTGACCTTGTCATAAAAAGCCACAAAATCTTCCAAACATTTATGAATAACAATAAGATTCACTTGATTACTTACACTGAGATTGCCATGACTCTTTTATAATGAGCTCATGATGTTTAGAACTGTAGATGTGCTGTTATAATGATTTAATAATCATCTGACCAGGGTGTGATTTGCCGATGGGGTTGTGAGGGATTCCGCTTCTCTGGTCTACGTGTTCCTGCTTCCACAAAATCATTTAATTATTCTATAAATGTCACATTAAAGAACACATATTCTGACAGACGTCAGAGTATAAAGGGGCCACGGTGGTGCCCGAATTATTTTTGCTGAGGGCAAAATAAACACATCATCCTTTCTTTTTATTTTTCTTTCATATATCAAACCTAAGATGTCAAAAATAATAACTGGGCAGCTAGACCAGTTATTATACTATTATACCACCTTTCACATTCACTGTGCTCCATTTCTGAAAAACTGTTATTTAGCTCCTGATTTATTGTAAGTGTATTTTCCTCACAGCAAATTCATCTTTCTCAGATTCTGTCTCACTCACTTATTTGCATTCACCAATTTTATGCACCGATAATGAATTACAACTCACCTTTATTTTGGACCCTTTTACAATTAGATAGATTCCCGGTGTGCACAGGGGGGGGAAAAAACTCTATTAGACTCTAATAATTGTTTAATTTTAGAGTACAAAATGTAGACAAAGTGATCAACAAGAAAACCGCTGCCAGAAATACTGTAAAAGTGCCCGGGAAAAGGTGTCTTCTTCTGATATGCTGAATATTATATTATGATATGCTGAATATATTAAAAAAATCTGAATGAAAAAGTAAATAAACAAAAACAAAAAAAATGCATAATTATTTGTTGACAGTCAGAAAAAAGGTTTTCACTGGACTCCCTGAAGTGCTGTAAAAATCCAAGTACTTCAATGATTCAGTAGTTTGTGAAACCACCTTTAGTAGCAATAACTTGAGGTGTTGCTTTTCTCTATGACTGTCACGGAGGTGGAACGGACTCAGGCGCAGACTGAGAAAGCACGGTTCAACAATACTTTATTAATCACACTGGTGCGCTATGTACACTGGGGAAACACACTTCTTCGCACTTGCTCCGCTCCTTGTCCAAACAATCTCCACACAAGCTGCCCACTCACACTCACGGGGTCCAGGGGTCACAAAAGGGCTGATCCAGGTAAACCTATTAACACAGACGAGGGTAAGTCGAAGGCAAGCACGGGAACAACAGAATCGCAATGAAGCCAGGCAATACTAACGAGAGTTACTCAATATTCCAGCAACGAGTAGCTCAGAGCCCCTGACCTAAGAAGAGCTGCAAATCACCGGAGATCAGCTGCAGGTGCGTGGGCCAAGGGCGAGAGCCCAATCAGAGCTCCGCCCACGCAGACAGGTAGGAGAGAGAGAGAGAGCAAGGCGAGGGAAGCAGAGAGAGTAAAACAACAAACACTTGTGGCCACACTGGGCTGGCCGGGGAGGCACAGGGACCATGACAATGCTTTTATCAGTCTCTTGTGTCATTGTCAAGGAGTTTTGGCCCATTCTGCCTTACGATGTTGCTCCACTTCATTTCCAGACATTCATTTCTTTACAGCTCTCTTAAGGTCCCACCACTGCATTTCAATCAGGTTGAGGTCTGGATTTTGACTCTGCAATTACAACACTTTGATTCTTCTTTTTCAGCCACTCTGTTGTGGGTTTGCTCCTGTGCTTGGGATCATTGTCCTGCTGCACAGCTGTTAGACAGATGCCCTCACATTTGACTCTAGAATACTTTGGTATACAGAGGAGCAAATAGATGACTCAATGATTGTAAGGTGCCCTGGTCTGTGTCTGCAAAACAAGACAAATCATCGTCCCGCCACCACCGTGCTTGACAGTTGGCGTATGGTGGTTTTTTTCACCAAATTTGGCACTTTGCATTATGACCCAACATCTCCAATTTGGCGTCATCTATCCAAAGGAGATCGCTCCAGATGTTTTGTGGTTTGTTTAGATGCAAATTTGCAAAGCTAAGCTCTGCCGCGTGTTCTTTTTGAAGACTTTTTCCTGGCAATTCTTCCAAACAACCCATACCGGTTTAGTCATTTTCTAATTGCACTGTGATGACCTTTAAGGTTTAATAAGCTAACTGAGGCCTATAGAGCCTGACATGTTGGTCTTGAGCTTGAATGGGAAATATGGTTGGATGTCCACTCCTAGGAAGATTGTAAGATCATGTTTTCACCACACCATCAGCTTATCACTACCCCTGCTTTTATAGAGGAACACTTTAATCAAGTGCATTTGATTAGCATCACCTGGCTGCTGCTTAATTTCTATAAAGACAGTGAGGGTCTATTTAGTTTTTCACAGGACTGCAAATAGACATCATTGTTGACACATGTGGACATTTCCATGTTTTGTTGCATAGCAAAACCAGCTGAGAATTAATAAGAAGTTAAAGTAACTTCAGTGAAAATGTTTTACTTTGATTAATGTGCGCTGATGGGGTCATGTGACCTTTATTCAAGTAAAATTGGATGGATGGATGGATGGATCTGACAAACAAAGCAAGCTTAAGTTATATTTTAGTCCTCATAATAATAATGTCGGCACAAGGGTCACATTGTTCTTTAATCTCTATTATGAGACAATTTCTTTCTCTCAACAAGCTGTCAGTTTTTCAATCGTGTCCCAGTTACATCTATCATACAGATGATGGATGTCAATAACCACAGGCAAGGATACATTAGGTCACGTTTAATACATCTGCACCCTATTATTAAAATATGGTCTATAAAAAGACAAGTCAACCCAGTGACTTGAATAGCTTTGCCACACCTAGAAGCTTCCTGAGTATTCTGGCTGTGTTCATTGCACCCTTTGTTTCCCTTTGTTCCCTCCGTTTTTACACTAGATAACAGTGCAGTCCCATTTTGGAATCTCATCCAGGAGTGGAGGCCTCCAGCTGTAAGATGCCAGCTCTGCAGGGCTTCAGGTTGAGAGAACTACGGTGGAATGATGTTTTTAAACAAGATAATAGGACTCTTACTGAGTCAAGAGAATAAACGTTTCCTATGAAGGGGGAGTATGTCTTTTTTGTGTGTTTCAAAGGCACCTATCTCTATTTTCGCAGCAAGCTTTAATTGGACTGCACAGCGTTCGGCTCGGGAGGGAGTGACTGAAGGCACAACAGGCGTAAATCCTAATTCTTTTGATTTTTAGTCCGCGTCGGGGACGCTCAATGAGAATTGGTTGAATTTTAATGAAAGCATTCTGGAGATGAAAAGAGATGGATCAATGAGTTTGAAGTGAACAGCACAAATATGTTCCACTTGTGGACTGATGGGGTTGAGGTGACGGGGTTTTGTTCATTTCTCTGGAAACCATTTTCTCTGTTGAACTTTCCTCTGATCCCCGTAGGAGACCTGTCTGCAAGAAGAGACTCCAAAGGCGAAGCACGACTTGTCACCTATAAGGATTAAAGTGGTGGGTGTTATGTTAAACCAGATTTTATTTTTTTCTATTGCTCTACTTTTGTTTTTTAACTTATATATCACTGTTTAATGCTTAGGTAACTTATATTGACTGTGTTGGAGTTTTGTAATGTGGTTGCATGAATTTTAGCTTTTCATCTCGGTGTCTCTATGACGTATTCAGATAAATTCGATTTTTTTTCTCATTTGGCTGTGTGGTCGCAGCCTGGGGGGGTCACAGAAGGAGCCAGGAATTGTGATTGTGAAGCGTGGCTCAGCAAAGACTGCGTGAGATGCACTTGCAAAATTCAGCACCTGCAAAATTCACACAGCATTCAACGGCAGAGGATTCATATCAGCAACGAAATAAAAAAGCGCGATGGGCTGAGAATATCATGCAAATTCATGTTTGTGGTCTTACTGCAAATTGTACAGTGCTTAAAAACGTGTTATTGCTGGAGAGGGAAAATTGAGATTGAATTTGTCACAGGTTTGGAAAGTTAAAGTAATTGCTGGCACAAGAGATAAATGAAACAGCTCCTAAAATGTAGCAGGATTTCCTGGCGTGTGCTGAATGTCAACTATTGAACTTGGAGTCGGGCACACTTTTAGTCCATCTGAAGAGCCCTTCAGATATGTATTGACCATAACTTTACATTTTTCTGAGTCTTATTTGCCACTTTGTTGGCTTAGCAGAGCAGCCCAGCTCTCAGCTCCACATATTTTCCGCATGAGGTTAAGGAGGATAAGCTAAAGGCAATTTCTCAATAGATATTACGAGGGGTGAGGGGAAATAGAAGGTAGAGCAGTGAAGTGTGATGACTTAATTTAAACATTAAAACCGGAATAATGTTGTTTTCAATACTCTGGGGTGGCAACACAAGCTGAAAACACAAAATTGGCACATAGTCACCTTAGTCAAGACAGGTGAAGCAAACAAATAGATATTTAGGCATTCAGCAGGCACACGGAAACGTTTAAACTTGTATTTCAATTCAGTTTGATTTATATAGCACCAAATCCCAACAGCAGTCACCCCAAAGCACTGTATATTGTAAGATAAAGACCCTACAAGAGAAAGCCATTCAATAAATTAGAGCAATCACTTGGTGACAGTGGGAAGGAAAACTGCCTTTAAACAGGAAGAAATCTCTGGCCTATCCAGGCTCAGGGAGGGGCAGCCATCTGCTGCTTGGGGGTGTTTATTGTGGATCTTTAACCTCTGTTTTGGTTTTTACCCTCTACAGAGGAAAATGTCTTTTTTTAATCCTTTTTTAAACCAGGTAGTGAAACTTTTGTGATGAAAAATCTCCTTTACAACAGTGTCCTAGAATGAGATAAGAAGTATTAATATATATCTCAATGGCAGGACAAACCAGGCCCTCTTGCTGTCTGGCTACAGTGCTAACCACTGAGCCTTCATCCTGCCTAGCTGGTTTTGTTTCATCTGTCTCTGTTGCAAATAAATGGTTGAATATGTTCACCAGATGGAAACTTTGTCTGCCAGCTGATGCTCAGATACTAGTGGCTCTGTGGTGCAGTGGTTAGCACATTTGCCTTACATGTAAAATATCCCCAGCTTGATCCTGGGAGAAGACACAAACCCAGCATCAGGGTCATACTGCACTCTGGCAGCTGGTCCCAAGTACAGATAAATGGGAGGGTTGTGTCGGGGAGTGCATCTGGCATAAAATCTGTAGATCCATCTGCTGAGGTGACCGCTTGTTTTTATTCCATTTTATATGATTTTGGTTTGTCTCTGATCTCCTACATGCGTCTTTACTGGTCTTGAATGTACCGCAGCGTGCCCTCCTATCTGTGAACACACTATTAGGATGTCTGGTTATTTACTGTTACTATTCTGCTGTGGAATTGTTCAAATTGTTCAAAATTTAGGAATCGTTGTGGCCATAATAAGATAAATTAATTATTGTTTTATTTAGCAAAGTTTCCATCACACAATTAAATCCAAATTTGTAAAAAGCACAGAGTTAATAAATGTCTTTTCTCAATTCCCTGGTGCCAGTCACACAATAAAACATCACATAATCTAAAATACACCTTGCTAATATTGTCATGGACTCCTTTTTGCCTTTAAAGCTTCCTTAATTAATAGTGGAATAGACTCAATGAGGTGCTGAAAACACATCCATGAAACAAATGTCCAGTTTCACCAGGAACTGTTACACAAAGTAACTTTAATCACCCGCGATGCTCACTTTGAAGTTCAGCAGGTTTGTTTTGGCCATGTCTCCATCCTCTAAAGCAGTTGTAGTCATGTGACTGGCTGATTCAATATTTACATTAAGGAGCAGTTCAGCTGTTTCGGTGTCCCTGAAAAAGGGACCGGTGACAGTATGTAAACCCCTTGAAAAATCACATCAGTTTGTCTGTTGGAAGCATTGGTGTGGAAGCACTTGAAAAATTAATTTCAGGCTCGAAACTGTTGTCCTGATACGTCCAGCACACCAACCCAGCATTAAGCCTTTATTGATTTCAAGCTGTCAATAACTGTGTCGTGTCTCGTGTCAGCAGAGTGAAGAACCCTCGGGTCCTTCCAAGCCTAACCTGCTCTCAGGATGCCTGTGGGGCAAACGCCCAAAGACTGGGCCGGTGGAGAACTCAGTGCTGCCCCCGGTGGACATGCAGAACTACTGTAGCATCAGCCATGCCTCGTGTGGCCGCACCGAGATGGATGTAGAGGAGGAGCGGGGGGAACGGAACCCCGACGAGAACAGCCAGATCCAACGTCCTCCTGTCAGGATGAGCTGTGAGGTGAAAGATCTGTCCAACGGGCAGACGCACACATCACTGCGGCCGATGTCTCACATCAGCAATCCCCGATTCAGGAGCATGCACGCGAGGGAGAAAAAAGCCACTCAGATGCTGGCCATTGTGCTCGGTGAGTGGAGACTGAGATAAGCTGAGGAAATGAAAGTGTAAATGTCACAGTAACACACTCTATAACACAGGCAGCTTTTAGAGAGGCGATATATGACCGAGTTGCTTATTCTGCTTCGACTTCTTTCACATTTGTAGGATTAACTCTTCTGCCACATATACCCACGACAGTACCAACACGTTTTTTTTCTCACTGTGTGCATTTCCTGCATATTTTTCTTATCTATACTACAATAAATCAAGCTGAAATGTCAGGCCTCGGGTTCACTGTGTCGGCCCAGACAACGCACACACTGTAGCTCCTGACACAGCTTTCACACGCTCCAATTATCAGCCAGGTTGCTTATTTAGGCCTGGTCCAGTTAGCTCTGACACAGCATAGATCTCACTGACAAAATGTAATCAGAGGTGCCCGATTACATTACACTGGTGTCAGTGAAAGCCAGTGGCGCATGCACAGAAGACAATCCCAGCCTTGCTTTTTCATCCAAACTGACCACAACTTTACCGCAATGTCAAGACACCAATTATAGCGCTTGAATTTAATGATTGCTCAAGCTACAATGCAGCATTTACAGTCTTGTTTATACACAATAAAATGTATCCTGACGGCCGCTGATGGGTAAGACTTCAATATGACTACCGCACAAACCACAGGTTAAAACTGGTCTAATTGGCCCATTAAAAGTGTCCTCATAGGTCTGCTCACTAGCAAAAGGGCAATAGTGGAAGATTTATCCATGTCTGTATTTATCTGCAGGTGGTAAACTATGTAGTTAGACACTGTAACATTTGAAGCTTACGTTAGAGCAGACAAAAGTAGGGCTTAATCCGTTCTTTATTTTATTTTATTCTTCTTTTTTTTTCAAAACTGTCAGAGAAACACTACTTTGTGTTCACACCAAACATGAAGGGACACTTTAATGCAGCTTAACTGCATAGAAAGTGCAAATGGACTGGGTTTTATATTCCACTTTTTCATTTAATGACAAATCAAAGCACTTTAGGCTGCACGCCACATTTATGTAGCTCATATCTATGGCCAACATGCATATCTTTGGACTTTGGGAGGAAGCTGGAGTACCTGGAGGAAACCAACCGAGGCACATGGAGAATATGCAAACTCCACATAGAAAGGCCCCGGGTGATGAGGGCGTTAAAGCAAGGACCTTGTTGCTGCGAGGTAGTGGTGCTAACCGCCACCGTGCCCACCCATCTGTGCAAAGAGGGAAATAAATTTAAATTGTTATCGTAAATCTGCGTCACAAAGCGTAACCTCGCTTTGTGTTTGTTGTGAACAAACCATTACTGTTCCTGCAGATGCAGGTTTCAACCCAGTGTAGTTATTATAGGGTTGTTAAGAAGGCTTTGGTAGATAACATTTCATTTCATTCATTTCATTCATTTCATTCATTTATTTGTTCATTTTCAGGCACAACAACTGTTTGAGGGAGGTTTTAGCCAGCATGTGCTGTGACCATGATTAACACGAATTCTGTTTTCTTTCTCTCCTTTTCTCTTCCTTTTTATTTTAAATGTTATTACTATACCCACCACTCTGTCCGGCGTACACCTTCAATTCCGTTTTGTCCTTTCTCCATACCTCTCTGCTGTCTGCCCGCTCCAGGGGTGTTTCTCATCTGCTGGCTGCCTTTCTTTGTGACTCACATTCTGAACACTCACTGCAGGACATGCTACGTGCCTCCTGAACTTTACAGTGCTTTCACCTGGCTCGGGTATGTCAACAGCGCCCTCAACCCTGTTATCTACACCACCTTCAACATCGAGTTCAGACGGGCCTTCATCAAGATCCTCAGCTGCTGAGGAAGGAGCCACGTCAGGAAATTTAAATGGAAATGAGGCTGCGCAGCCGCGCTACAAGTCCGGCGCGGAGCATTTAGTAAACAGTGGCCAGAGAGGTGCATGCTTTGTGTGCTGCATAAGTTACACAGCGGCACCAAGGTGAAGCACAGAAATGGACAAACACTGCAGGGTACAATAAATGCAAATACAGATGGAAGTTTACTTTTCGGACTCCGACGAGGGCTAAAGCTTTCATTTCTCAACATGGCTGGGATTGTATTTGAACAGTATGACTCCTCAAATGACACTTAAACATGCATACAGTCTTATTTATAGCACAAGCTTTGGGCTTTCTTGTGGATGTGGGTTGTGCATTATGTGTACTGCTCATTGGCACGCTTCATCCATTCAGTACTTTCAGATTGATGGAAGTGTGAGAGACTGAAAAACTGACTGTAGAGCTGCAGGCCGCTTCGTTCAGAAGCCTGCTGCTAACGTAATGTGTTGACTAATTGATGGTACTCGTGTGCTCCGCTCACGCTCTTTCAATTCGATGTAGCTGTGAAGGCTCTGGGGTAAAAAAAAAAAAAAGGATCCTTAAAGCTGAAAAATTGATCGCAAAGATGCAGGCCTCAGTTGTCTGGGGGCAAATGCCACCGCACTGTGTGGACTAACTCCTCTCAGCTCTCTGTCATCACGCCGGTCCTTGAAGATTGTCCTGGTCTGGAGACATTGTGCTCAGTGTGGATTCATCCATTCATTAGAAATGTGTGATGTTTTAATGTGATGCAGAGTGGAGACATTCAGTTTTTTTGTTTGTTTGTTTGTTTTTTAAAGCGACTGTCTATTTATCCGCAACCCTCCCTATGACTTCATCAGAGCTGCCTGCTTGGCTGCTCTGATTGGCTGCGCAACTGAATATTTACTGCATTATGTTGTCAATAAAATTAAAAAAAAATAGATGAAACATTTTTGAGGCTCATGTATGCGTGCATACATCTAAATGTTACTTGTCATGAAAGATGCCATTAGAGTTTGGTGCATAAAAGAGTTCTGCAGAGGACCGTGGAGGAGCCAAGCTGAGTGACCATGATACTTTGAAGATTTAAGAAACAGAGAGAGGATGAGTCTGAGGAGCAAAACAGAGATAAGGGATGATGAAGGGGGGGCTGAGTGGGAATGAGTGAAGCCAAAAATGAAAGAAATGAAGTGAGAGAACAGGGATCAAAGATGACTGTAGGAGGAGGAATAGAGGGGAGAAAAAGAAGATGGATGGAAAGCTGCAGGAAGGAGAAGGGGGTCGGTGTTTCTCAGCCCACATCTCAGGCTCTCTCTACTCCTCTGACAGGCATAAACACCTGCTCCCCTGACGCTTTGTGCCATCGAGTCGTTCCGCTGAAACCGGTTATGATGATGACGCACAAGGTGTGTAAACGGGCGCGTGAGTGTGTGTGCATGTTTTTATTTATAGATGTACGCTGGGACATGAGCGGAATATACAGTTTGTAATCATCATAATGCAAACATCAATAGCTCATGGCATTCCTTCCTTCTGTTAAAAAAGTACATAATTTGGTGCTGAGACATTTGTTGAGCTGTTGTCAGGATTTAAAACAGGCTGTGATTCCTCTGTGATCAGATGAGGGATTTGCTCTTCTGTTCTTTAATTGAATTTGAATTTAATTAAAGGTTATGCTGTAAAGGCTGCCCAGCTGCGTGCATGTACCTCCAGATTATTCCTTGTAATTCAGTGACAATTAACAAAAAACAGACTTCTGCAAATAAACCTAAAGCCCCAAAGGCCTGACGCTACTCTAGAGGCTTAACGTTCATTACATGTAACAATGTGAAACTCCTGGAGGGATGAAATATATTAAGCTAATGGGTTTTTATCTTTATCTGTAGTGATGCTAAAAATATTGATGTTGTCCCTTAAAATGCAGCCAGAGGAAAGGTTACAGGGTCACAGAAAACAAGAGTCTACCACTTTGGGGTATTGTACGTGCTCATCCAATTTCATGGTAATCTGATTTTACTTTGAAAGATGTCGGTGTGAGCTGACTTTTTTTTCCCTGAGGTCAAAGTAAGCTCATGAAGAGCTCACTGAGTATCTACAATTATGTGGAGGATCCAGATGCTCTAATTAGAATATTTCTGCCAAAAAACCCGCCAAATTCTAAACATTAAAAGAAAATTTGTAATTTGTTACAAATGTTCTCAATAATTAGGAAAAAATTGCTTTTTTAGTCCCAGGAAACAACTTGATATTAAATTATTTAAAAAATAGACCAGTAAAATATTTTTTATTTTATATACCATACAGAGAATAAAAGATGGAAATAACCAGGATGATGTCACCCATTGGTTAGTGAAGACGATTATGAAGCATGGTGATCATTCAGTTAGCATTAGCTAAGAAGTTAGCTAAAAATATCACAAGCCAACCAACATGAGTAACGCTAACAGCAAACATAATCTAATAAGATATTTATTATTTTGAAGAAATTAATAAAGAAAGCACTGAAAATGCTTACCAGATTAGTGGGGAAAGACCTAGATTATCGAATCATGTGGCCGCCTGCACATGCTGAACTAGCTTTTATAAAAACAAACCCAGCTTCTAAAGTGACACTCATAAAGATTTGGCTAATAGTAATATTACCATCAACAACATAAACTATTGTTTTAACAGTCAGGCAGTTGCTGCTCCCATCACTCTGTAATGTGATTTTATGTGAATGGCATCAGTGTGGAATAGTAGGACCCAGTGAGAGTAGTTGACTAAGCATTCGGAGGTCTCCTGACTCCAAAGCACTCTCAGCATTATTTCAGACTGATCATCTGTCAAAAAGTGCAGAGTAAAGTCTGTAAATATGGATTCTAAGTGCTAGGCTTACTGACAAACACGATGCATTTCCTGTGAACTCCTGTGAATAAAACTCGATGTAAAGTGAAGCTCCAAAGATGGAAATGTTTGCATTAGTAGTAACTTCATGCAGCCACATCTGTAATACTGCAAATGTTGCTGTGCTTTGGCTCAATTGCTCTGTGTGGTTTTATTTATCAATAGTTAGTGATTGTTTTATTTATTTAAATGAAATAAAAGTGAGAGAGAGAAAGAGAGAGAGAGAGAGAGAGATGGCTACTTGAAGTGCTGACAGCGTTCAAAGTCCTCGCTGCTGCTTTCGTTCTGGATCGTGTGAGCTGCCTCGTGGGGCCTTTACTTAATTCGTATACTTCACGGTGAGCACTGAACCAGCCTGGTGAAGCTCCACACCATCTAATGTAAAGACTTCTCTGTCAGCTTTCTTTGTAGTTTTCCTTTAAGATTAACCCCAAAAAACTGGCACTGCAGAGGGCAAAGAGAGGTGGAGGAAATGGAGCAAAGCCATAGTGGAATCAATCTCATCAAAGATGAGAGATTTCACGGTAGATTTGGGTAATATCTTAAACTGCATTTACATTTTTGGCAAGAAGGAAAGGAAAAAGCAGGCAGTGCTAATTGACAAAACAGAAAAGTAATATAGAGACAGTCTTGTGGAGCAAAAACACTTGCAAAAAGTTTTTTTTCTTTTTTGTAATTATGCAAAAATTTTAACTAAATGTCCCGACTGAATGAACAGCCAGCAAATATGCACGTCTCCTCAGAGTCCTGCTGCAAGTGTGGAAAAACAGCAGTTCCACCCTAGACCTGTTATGCAAACTAACTGTTACTGGGTTCACTCTCCACTTCATGCTGCATGCGCAAACATGATCCCTGTATGTATGCTTCACAGCTGCATGCATAATTATGCCTGGGTGGACACATACAGGGTTTTTGGGGAGTTTTGAATGTCTTTGAAAGCACTAACCAGTGCTCGATTTCTTTCTGTCTGCATGCATTTATGTGATGCACACGACAGAACATAAGTGAGTTGGGAGGGCCACAGATGAAGGAGCCATCCATAAGTAAAAGACGGAGGAAGAGTTGAGCTGCGCTGCTCATGAAAAGATGAATGCTGTGCAGCTTTTGGCATGTTTATCAGTAAGTCTCAGAGGGAAGAGGATGCTTGCTTGATTGATGGCTGCTCAGTTTCTAATTACTCTGACGTGGTTGGACTCCTGTTAATCCTGTCAAAACTCCAAATCTGACTCTCAATACTGCCTGCTGCATTGCCACTGAGGAGGTGAAAGGACATAAATAAGTTGATGCCTTCGGTTGCTTTACTAACAGAAAGACTCTTCCTGCTCCTTCCTCCTCTCCTAATGGATTTGAGAGGCTTTGTGCATTTCTGTGGGCGTGTAAATGGATGTGATCGGCAGTTGCCGCATTTAACAGTGGCTAATGATGATGGATAAAGATGCTGATTACAGTGGCTACACGTCTTGGGTCTGTCCCTGTCTTCTTTCACCACAGCCTCTGAGGTTTTTTTCCTCACACCAGTGTGTCAAAGCGGCATGATAATTATCCTCCCCTCACTGTCTCTCCATGTCAGTTGAATGCTGCCTTTACTGTTAATTTGACACCATTTTGAGGTTAAGGAGTCGTGTGTGATGAGGAAATGAGTTCTGTTTCTCTGTTTGACTGGTCAAGATGTAATAACGCAGTGGTTTTTCAGCTCCTTTTGATTAGGCCATACCATTTCACAATCCCTTTAGTGACACACTTACACCTGAAAAAAGGGCACATTACAAGGGCTCAACTGCAGTCTGGGCACTTTCTACAAGGGTAAAGGAGGTGTTTGACATAATTTATGCTCACTAAAAGTTCATTTGCTGGGTCTCTCATCACTGGGAAATCAGGTGCAGGGATTTATTCATACACGGCAACATACGAGACAAAAGCAGCTTGAGTCACTATTTGGTATGACCACTTTTATTCTTCAACACAGTGTGAACTCTCTAAGGCAGCTTTCTTTTAATTTCCTGAAGTAATCTTCAGAAAAGCTTCTCCAGGCTTCTTGAAGGACATTCAAAGCTCTTCTTTGCATGCTGGCTGTCTTTTGTTCTGTTCTCTGTAAAGATGATTCCACACGGCTTCAATAATGTTGAGGTTCAGGCTCCAGGGGATGCCAGTCCTTGACTGATAGTGCTCCATTGTGTGTTTTTCGATCCAGGTATGCTTTTACTGTACTGACAGTGTTTTTTTGTTCTCAGTTGTCCTTGTCCTTTTTCTTTTGTTCTCCATTTGTTCACTTTCCTCAAATCTTTGGCATTTTTGTAGATTCAAGTAAAGAAATGGGAACCAATTAATAATTTTTGTGACAGGCTGCTTGTAATAAAGCGCCTATTGTTATGTGGAGACACACCACTGACTTTTTGTCCTTGTTAAGTGGCTAAACAAATAAACAAAAAAACAAAAAAACATTCCTTTAGGTAAAGGTCGGGATTGAAAACAAGCAACAAAAAAAAAAGTAGCCAGTGTCCAACAGAAAAATCTGAAAGACCTTCAAAAAGCCTGGAAAACTATCGCTCAAGACCACTTTTGAAACATTACAACAAGTCTGGCTGACAGTATAAACAAATGAGAGGTGGCTCAAAGATTAGCGCTAAGCATCAAGTTTTGTAAAAACACATATTGGGGGGAAGTTTGGACTGTATTAAACCTAATCACGATGCTTTTTCATATAGTGTCCTGCTAGCATCACAAATCAAACCAAAATCAAATCAAATCACTTTTATTGTCACATCACATGTGCAGGTACATTGGTACAGCACATGTGAGTGAAATTCTTGTGTGCGAGCTTCACAAGCAACAGAGTTGTGCAAAATACAATAATGTAAACAAGCAAAATACAAGAATGGCTACATCTGAAAAAATAAATATATGTACAATATATAATAGTATATGCATTTCTGGATGTGTGTACTAAATATTTTTTCTACGTGTGTGTGTGTGTGTGTGTGTGTGTGTGTGTACACATATTTTACAAATTAAATAGAGTAAACAATAAATAAAATATATAAAAATATA